TCTTGCCTCTTCGCACCAAACAGATGAGAGTTAAAGCAAGTGGGGTTATTTTCTGTTCCCACATATTCCTTTGACATAACTTGATTCCACTTCTGATAGAAAAGAAACCAGTTCATAAAGGTCTCCCTTCTAAAATGAACATCTTTTCTTTTTAATGGCAAAATGCATGCAAAAAGCATATGATTATGGTATTTATGTTTCCATTAAAATGTCCTCAGCAAGCTGGAGGAGTCTAGCCTACTATTTTCAAGCTATTTAGATTTACAGCAGCACAGTGCCTATTTTATTTCAATTATATTTCAGGACAATGCACTCTTGGCGGGAAATGATTACAAAGTGACAGCCAGTAAACGTCCATTAGGAGTTGTCTTTCTACATACTGCTCAGCTATAGATGTCAGGTGATCGCTATAAAACCCCATTGTATAGCATCATTGTCATCTACATGAAAAACACTACTGATCAGTTGTGCAGCTTCTCTTCTGTATGATGCAAAACATACTAGAGACACTTCTCAGCTAAGCTAAAAGCTTTATCCACAAGAACACTGTTCTCGAGACACTTCTTTTCTGAACTGTAAAATAAACATAGATTACACATTCTATCCCAATTTTGCTCCATTAATAAGAAGCAAAAAACTTCTTAGCAGCCTGTCTCTGTAAGCTATCCATACCTAGGATGGAGCTAACATCGTAAGGGCAGCTGATGTATATGCAGCTATACTGATCACCAATCACTCCTAACAGATTTTATTTATTTATTTATTGCCAGAGCTTCATTTCTTCTAGGCAATAAAATCCTCCTCTGTTAAGAAAGAGAATATGCTTTAATTCTCTAGGATCAAGAACAGAAAAAAATCTTTTCAGTGCTACTGGAGAGAGTTGCTATGACTAGTGTAACTGGAATTTAAAGCGTTTCAAGATTCACAGGAGCTACTCGTATGCATGGATTACATAACAAGCCCAAAATAATTAATCTTTCATATTTCAACTACATATTTAACAGATAATAACTATAACTGAAAAACCAAACTGACTGACCAACACCCCCCCTCCCATCCATCAATGATTTCACTCTGGTGCAACATAAATCTGCATTAAAGCAATTCTAAAACAGCTTCAAGTCCTGTAAGGATATTTTTGAGTAAAATTTACTATTTATAGAGGGGTTTTTAAATTGCCATTGTTGGTAAGATGGGTAAAGCAATGTCATTTATACACATCCAGATGTGCAAATCTCCAATGAGGAAGTTAACATCTCTTTTTCCTTTGCTGTATTTTGGCATTACACAATCCATTTTCTAATTTACAGAAATGGACGGACAAACTATTTAAGGAATAACCGTGTACTTCTTACTGTTTTGTACTATCTGTCTACAGTTGGAGTGCTTGGGATACATGGCAAGAGAAAATACATCCAAGAAGGAGAATGAAGAAACAGGCCTGTTTTAACACTGGTTGAACACTGGTTCAAGTTAGGTTATAAAATAACTTGGGGGACCTCTGCCTGACAACTTGGCAGTACCATCATCTGTTGAAGCACTATAATAGTTGTCCTCATAATATCCTTAAACTTGCAAAAAATAAAATAAAATTGTCCATTATTCTGATGAGTGGTTTACATACTTGTCCTCCACTTTGTTATCATTCATATGCCAGACACAGTTAAACTCACATCAGTTGGTGGCATGTGTTGATGAAAATAAGAGAGAAGTCGAAGGAATATTAAAGAAAAACAAACCCTGACAAGGCCTCACACACAGACGCAGTAATTCTCTTGCAAGTTAAGGCAAAATTTGTCATAAGTGTTCAGCAATGGTATGCAAACTATTATGGGACATTTTGTTATAGGCTTCTTTGTAAGAGACTTTTAAATAACCTTTTGGACATACTTAAATGTCAAATTTTGTTTGGCACTAAGCACCAAACTGTAATAGAAATAACATTTCCCATATAAACAATGCTGCTTTTAATATGAATGTGCTAAAGATTTAAGACAGCCTGGCCATTACCAGCTCCTGGCAGTTCAGCGCAAGGGTAACGCGCTGCAAGCAATTTCCCTTCCCGTCCACAAAGGCTGGAAGCAACTGTTTCTATTTAGGTAACCTCTGAAACGTCCAGAGGAAAGGAAAGGATGGCAGGGCAAAGGGGTAAAACACACTGAAAATAACGCTCACTGCAGGTGAACGCTAATGTAAACAATATTTTAAGGATGCAGAACTGCAACCGACTATTTCTCCGCAAATTTCTTGCAGCATCATCAGGATAAATCAGACTGCAGAGAAGAGAGCTCCCTGGAGAAGAGCCCTGTGAAGAAGCACTTGGATGCTTGGTGTGGAAAAGGGCACAATGGGAGATGCCAAGCGGAGGGGAAAGGTCTCACTGCTGGAAAGGGACAGCAAGAAACAAGCTGCAGGGCACGTGGGGTGAGGAGCCAGGTATCCTACAGACGGGGAGACAACAGAGTTAACAAGCACCTCAGGCCCACCCGGCCACAACTGTTTTTTAAAATGATGCTCAGACGATACTTTCTTAATGCATCTAAGATAAAGCCTGTAAAACAGAGAGCAGCCTTGGGAAGATAGCTCAGCTGCGATCCAGGCTCTCCTGCTGAACATTAGACAGGGTCAAGCTCCCAGGCGTCCTTCACACACCTCGGGGAAGACTGAAATCTGCTCCCTCACAGCTGTCACATCTCTTCTGTGCCCAAAGCAAGCAACATGCTCTCTCAGTGGTGGGGCCAACGTACAGACCTGAGTACTGGGACAGTTAAATTTGAGCCTGAGATTGCACAAATCACTGCAACAGTCCCCAAAAAGTCTCCCGGAGATGGGTGGGATTCAGCAGCTCCGGGTGTTAATAAAGGTGTGAGGAGAGAAGAAAGAAAATTCCATACAGTAGACACCTTCATGCCTCAGACCCCTGAACAGGTACTTCAGAGCACATTTATAGCAAATAATAATCTTCTTCCATCTGAATTTCCTATTTCTTTCCAGGTGTTTCTTGCCAAATGTGTCCCCCCTTTATCAGGGGAATGGGGGTGGCTTTTCCTGCCCCAGTTCTAGTCCCCCCCTTGCGTTTTCTCCCCCTGCTCAAGCCCATTCATGTTCACTGGGATTTTCCTTTTGTCACAGCGTGATCCCGCTGTCAGAGACAGGGCCCTCTGTGCTCCAGGAGAAGCCTGAATGTGCAGAACTACCACACTGCTCTGCAGTCCTACCCTTACGATTAACATCAGATTCTGCCGGTACCCTGTTATCTTCAGTTTTACTCACTCTCTCCCGGCTCTTTTATCAGCAATCACACAGACTTAGCTAGGTCACGCAGGTCTTACATTTCACCGTGCCAGGTTCACATCAAAGAACATTTTTTTTGTTGATGTGACATTGATGCCATTCAAGTCCGGCATGAAACGTTGCCTTTGGTCTAACAAAAACAGCCATGAGAGTCACCACGTGGCAGCCATATCCAACCAAGCTATCTTAATTTCTAAAGGCACAAAAGTGCTGAAATGTCAGGCACCTGGGCATACCAGTGCCAGTCAATGTAAGGCTAAGGAATATAAAATTCCAAGGGCACAGATGAAGCTGTCGTCTTTTAAAATTATTTTACTTCCTTCACTGAAATAATGTACGTATCCACAATATATAAATTATGTTTATTTAATATGAAAAGTAGACTTTTACACAGTGCAATGCAAGAGAACAGTGCAATTGAGAAAATAAAAAGGCAGTTGTGCTACTGAATTTTAGTAAAAATTTATGCATTCAACAATGCATCTGAGATTTTCTTATTTGTCATGCTAGAGGATATATTTTTACCAATATTATGTAAAGGAACTTTTCAAAATAGATCCAGTGGAGGCTTAAATACACCAATCTCAGTCCTCAATTAAAAAGTTTTACACAATTAGCTGAACTCTGCACGACAGCTGCTTTCCTTAAGACCAAATACAAATGACTCCGTTACCACCTAGAACAGAATATGCAAGATGAACACCAGTCCTCACGTAGAGCTATACAGATCTCAAACACTGCAACCAAAGACACTGCTTTGCTGATTTAACTGAAAGTCCACTATTTTTCTTCCAGAAAGAATGGGGTAGAAAACAAAACAATGAGTGGTTTTATTATGAGCTAAATTAATAACCTCTGAATGAGTTAACGATACCTCCTGCACTAGGATTTTAGTGTTAGTTTTTGTAAAGCTGAGAAAATGCAGAACTACAAAATCATAGATGTAAGCCAAGAAAACAGATGTATTTTCATTGTTAAAGTACAAAAAAGCTGTGAATTTTGCCTTTGGTTATTTCTACTTTATGTTAGTTTACATATCTGTTTTAGCTTCAGGTTTTCAAATGAACTCAAAACTCCATCAACAGAAACCGGAATTTTGCCCAATTTCAGCATAAAACCAATCATGACACACTTTAGATAATGTAACCACAGAAAGAGAACAAATCATAAGGTACAGCTGAAGAAGAGAAAGTAACTCGTGAGTCAAGCTTGGAGTTTACTCACTTGATCTATACATAATCAAAAAGCTCAACCTGTTAGACTGAAGTTCAGGACTACAGTAGGACTAGAATCCAGGTAAGTTTTAACCCATTTTTGCTTTAACAAGAACTTTCCAGAGATTTTGTTAACTGCTGTGAATAGGTTGGAAATGTTGTACTCCACAACCATATCAGTTAGACCTCTGACACATAAACCAGATGGTTTTACAGGTTTGAATTTAATCTGAATCATACCAAACGGTGACTCCAAAATTCCAAACCATCTGAAGAAAGAGAAGCAGCTGCTCTGCAGAAAAGAACTTTCATGTCCCATTCTGTTATAGTTTGATTTGTGTGAGCTCAATAGTTTTCTACATAAAGGCTTTTAAAAAGCCATTAATAAAAATGCAGTTCTGACTTTCCAATTGACGTACAGTCATCTCCAATGACAGAAGCATTACAAGGGTGGATTTTGAAAGAGCGTATTGATTGACGTCTGGTGCCTACCTGTCTACAGGTGAAGACTTTGAATTCCGTGGTTTCTTCACTTGGGCGTACAAGGCTTCCACTGTCTGCCCTTCCCTCGGGCTCTGCGGTCGGGCGTTCAGTGTTATCGTGCCGCTATTTGAAGAAGAGTCATAGGAAGCAATCCCAGCGTACATTGGGTCCGCATCACAGCCAAACGTCCGGTTAAAATCCTGTATCTCTGCATAGTCACGTTCACGAGCTTGTCTCTCTCGAAATTCTCGAGTTTTTGCTTGAATTCTGAAAAATTAAAAGAAGGCTGAAACTAATTTCCCCCCCCCAATCATTTGAAAGCAGCAGTTAGCAGACACTTTAGGTAGCCCATCTTAATGAAAACCACTGAAGCGTTTCCAGTTTCAGTTTGCCATGGAGTCTCTGCTTTACCTTGGATATTGAAACCTAGATTGAAGCAATGCTACAATCAACACTGGCCTTTAAGGAAGAAGTCTGATTATCCACTGTCTTTTCTTCCATTATTAAGTTAAATAATGACTAGCCATAGCTGTTGATAAACAGTTATGTGTTGTTGCATGCATCTTAGGATGCCTGTGCTATTACCTGACCCGTATGAGAATGGCCTGACACTGTTCATATTGTATTGTACTCCATAAAAACCTAACAGGTTTAATGGTTCTAACGCCTGTATTTAGAGAGGAATTTTAATGTACTTTCTTGGACCAATACTACAAAAATCATACTTCTTTCAGAATTGAAAAACTTCATACGGATAGGACACACATATATATATTTATGTATGCATGCATGCAGTAAACAGCAGAAGTAGATTCTTGTATGAATCGTTCAAAAAGTCCATGCTTTGTTTAAAATGTAAACAAACTGAATCTGGCATCTCTCAAAAGTAGGCAGTTTTTTCTCAGAAAGTAATAACATGTGCCTTATGTTAAAGTTACAAATGAAATGTGATGCTGTACTGGGGTTTTGTATCTAGGTGCACTTGTTATGTGGATGATAAAAAGCGACAGATAAAACCAGATGACATTTAGGAATCTGACAAACACAAATTGAGCACAGGTCATATTTTCAAAAGCACACAAAGCTATTACTAAAATTTGATCTGGGCTTCAAAGTTTCTTTGGCATTTTAGAAAATTTGATGTATCACACACACATGCACAGCGAACTGAAAAAACCAGCCCTCCCAACATTGTCTCCCCTGACCAATTTAATGCTCTGTCATCATTGCAAAATGAAGCACTCAGCTGTCTCCTCCCTTCCATTAGTAAAATGTGCTCCTTTTTCATCTAATACAGCCATGGCTACACAGTGCGACAGCATCCATCCATTCAGACTACAGCTCTGTGCACCCCTGTTACGTGCCATTTCCAAAGACAGCTTGTTCACCAACTTTCAACAAGAACAGCCTACTCAAAGCTTCTGTCTCTTTTGAAAGTAAGCCTTGTCTCTTTTGAAAATAGAAAAGCCTTAAAGTTAGGTAACTGACATTTTTTGAAATTTTAAACTTAGTCCCATTCACGATTAGTCTGTGCAAAAAGAAAAGGGGATACACAAAGGGTGGGATTCAGGTTGCAGATAAAGACATCGGAATTTAGGTGTCTGCAGTAGGTGAGGTCACGCCAGCTACATGTGCAGGTTCCCTTTACAGTCCAGGGAGCCTTAGGTCAGCAGACTCCAGAGTTACACAGGTGCCGTGCTAGTCGATGTGTTCTAGCGTGAAAGGAGCTGCTCTATAGACACTTTTGATGCTGTTGTTTAGGTCTTCCTTGGGAGCGTGGATGCCCAGCCTTGATTCAGCTGCTCAAACAGAAGCAGCTATGACCACCTGACATCCCCAGGTAAACCTGCTGGACCTCCAGCTGCTGGGCAAGAAGAACTCCTGCAGGTCCTTGTCACATCTGCCAGCCCTGTGCTGACATCTCAGAGACAGTGATACCTCAAATGACACAAGACGTCTGTGTTCAAGCATCTGAATCCAGCTCTGAGCTGGTATGTGAATAGCAAAATTTAAGCGTCTTCATCAGATTGAGTCCCAAGAAAATCATTCTTTCTATGCTAACAAAGACTGCCATAACAAACCAAAGGAACAGGAGGATGGCACAGATAGGCAGACCTGTTTTCCCCCAAAATCCTACAAGTATTGACCAAGGATACTGATTTGGGATACAACTGGTTGGCTGAACTCCCTTCAACAGCCAGTGCCATCACACTGATGGTTCAGTGATTCATTTACATGCCCCAAGTTATACCTCAGCATAATTCCTCTTTTTAGGTCTACTACCATTGACTTGTGCACCACAACTCTCACTCATATTCAGTCACAGTGGAAAGAAAAACAGCCATACAGGAAAAAAAAAAAAAAAAAGGCAAATAGAAGAAATCTGAGATAGTTTAACTTAAACCAACATATAATTTTTAATTTTGCAATTTTGCAAATACAAATTATTTTCTTTACTCGTTGTTTTTATTGTAGGAAAAAATGGAAATGAAAACTGTAATACTATTCAGCTGACAGCACATTCCTCCACAATTTCAGCAACATCAAGCTGGAACTGTTTTTTGGTTTTTGTTTGATTTACAGTGAAGAAGGACACGGGTTTAAATCCAACCCCATTTCAAATTTAAACTGTGTTTTCACATGCCTATTTTCAAAATAAAAATATGGTTTACATTGTCCTATACTCCGAAGCTGTAATTCAGAAATGTTACAACCTTAATCACTTGGGAGGTATCTATGGAGAAGGAAAAACAGGCCTGAAAATGACCTGTGGTTGTTGATTCCTCTCTCTGCAGGTTTCACTTCCAATTTGTAGTCCTGTATTAATTACCCTGTGGAGGAACACATTTGTCTATTGATATTTGTCCTCTGAATGGAAAAGCAAAGGAAATCAGAAATTTCCTAGACATGGGTAGATTTAATTTTAATTTCAATGGACAATGTATCATCACATATTGGAACACTGGCTGACACCAATTTGAGAAAAAAAATCCATGTATTTTAGATAATCAAAATTTCAGTGTATGAAATCTGACAGTGTAGCAATAATGTAGCATAGAGTAATTCAGTCAGAAGAAAACATTGTTATCTGAAGTGCTTATAAAACAGAATTACCTGGTAGTAACCGGTCATATTGGCCTCAGTGTTACACTGACTGCTATGAGAGATGCTGGTGAACTTATCTAAATTTGACCATGAATATCACATCACCCTCCACAGGTGCAGACATGAGTGTCCCCCATTTCATGTTAACAACTTTTCTCATGTATTTGCTTATCAGCTATTTAATACATCTGGATACAGTACCATTTGCAGCAAGAACATTAACATTTTCCCATGCATGGTTCAATGAGGGATACTCACTCCTCTTCAAGTGGGAGAAAACTGATTGTTGAAGTGTTATGCAAGTAATTATGTTCACATCCACCAGAAAAGTATTTTTAGAGTATTTTCTACAACAGCTAATACAATACATTAATACACATACATAGTATTAAAAATCAGAGTCTAAACATATTCTAAATCTTCCCGTTAATTATAACCAAAGTACCCAGTAACCACTTGCAGTAGGTAACATTTAACAAAGGATAACCCTAAGGAGAAACTTCTAAGATGTCCCACTATACTGATACCCAAAATGTTCTGATTTTTTTCTCTTAATTGAACTTCTGTGCTTTAAGTTGAAACCACTGTGCAAGTCCTATCACTTTCACACGGCAGAAGTACAGGTATTCTGATTATTTAACATATTTTTGAATATTGTTTAAAATACAGCGTTGTTTTTGCCTTCCCCAGGACATACTGCATTTAAACATTATGTCTCCAAACTTAAAGGAAGAAAATGACCAGGGAAAAATATGTAGCCATATTCTTGAAAAGAATAACAGCAATCAGCTGAATATTGCACTACCCCTTTTGCAATTATAACAGTTTTTAACTCTGTGTATTTTTATATAAGAACCTGAACTTAATGCGATGTTATTTTTTATGCTGACCCCTCTCTTTGCGCTCGCGTGTGTATATGCATGATACGGCCTAAATAATTTGTTAGCATATACCGCATTATGTATACACACAGGCAACGCCAGTGCAGACTATTGTGGTAAAGATTAAAATTATTACGTAAACACACTGTGCAGCACAGACAAGAACCTGGAATTAGCTCTGTAATTCAGCCCTAATCAGCAACACTTCTGCTATTGAAATCCAGTATCTGGAGAAGTGTTTGAAACCAAACCACAATGCTTTGGTTTCACAATGTTGATATGTGTACTAAAGCTGTCTTCATTGCACTGTATTCCTTCATGACATGGCACAATAAAAATGCGTACGTCTGAAATTTCAGATCAGCTAATTTTGAGGATTTATGGCCTTCTACGGATTTTGTGGGGGTTTAACAATAATAATAATAATGCTTAGCATTCACATAACTCTTTTCATCTTCAAAGAATTTTGCAAAAACTGCTAATCAATTTTGCAGTGTTTAAATGAAATTGAACTTTTAAAAATATAAAAGCTATCCCAATGTCGTGGTTTAACCCCAGCCAGCAACTAAGCACCACGCAGCCGCTCACTCACTCCCCCCCCATCCAGTGGGATGGGGGAGAAAATCAGGAAAAGAAGTAAAACTCCTGGGTTGAGATAAGAACTGTTTAATAGAACAGAAAAGAAGAAACTAATAATGATAATGGTAACACTAATAAAATGACAACAGTAGTAATAAAAGGATTGAAATGTACAAATGATGCACAGGGCAATTGCTCCCCACCCGCCGACCGACACCCAGCCAGTCCCCAAGCGGCGAATCCCTGCCCCCCCCCCCTTCCCAGTTCCTAAACTAGATGGGACGTCCCATGGTATGGAATACACTGTTGGCCAGTTTGGGTCAGGTGCCCTGGCTGGGCATGAGAAGCTGAAAAATCCTTGACTGTAGTCTAAACACTACTGAGCAACAACTGAAAGCATCAGCGTTATCAACATTCTTCACATACTGAACTCAAAACATAGCACTGCACCAGCTACTAGGAAGACAGTTAACTACATCCCAGCTGAAACCAGGACACCCAAGAAGCTTCTAAACCCTTCTTGCTGAAGTGCTAATACTGAAAATGTCAACAACGTACTGTGTGCTTTCGAGACTCAAATTATAATGTTCAGTAACGTATAAACTATCCTCATGCATTTGTGTGCCATTCAATTCAAAAGCTAATGATAACTGCTTCAAATGACAATATTGTTAGCTGCAGAACTTCCTATAATTGTTAGAA